GGGAGCCTACCTTGTCCGTGAATACAGAGGCAAAGAAAGCATTGAGTACTTCAGCTTTCTCCACATCATCTGTCACTAGGTTACCTCCTTCATCCAGTAAGGGCCCCACACCCTCTCTGATCACCTTCTTCTTGTTAACATGCCTGTAGAAACTGTTCTTGTTATCCTTCACATCCTTAACCAGTCGCAAGTCCATTTGCACTTTGTCCTTCCTGATAACCCCCCGGCATTCTCGCGCTATACATTTAAACTCCTCCCTGGTCATTTGTCCAAGTTTCCACTTTTTGTAAGCTTCCTTTTTGTGCTTAAGTTCACCAAGGATTTCCCCTGTAAGCCAATCCGGTCTCCTACCATGTTTGCCTCTCTTGCTACGTGTCGGGATGGTTTCTTTCTGTGCCTTCAATAAAGCTTCTTTAAAATACTGCCAGCTGTCCTGGACTCCTTTCCCCTTCATGTTAGCATCCCAGGGGATTCTGCCTATCAGGTCTCTGAGGGAGTCAAAATCTGCTTTTTACCGGTGGCCATTTTGTTTTCTTGATGGAGGCAGAATGCAGCTTCCCTGCGCAACCAGGTAAGCGGGGCGGGGGGAGGGGAGGAGATGGGGAGGACGCTGGGCTCAGTTGCCTCAAAGATGATTCTGGGAGGCATTACCAGGAGTGTTGTGAGCAAGACAGGAGAAGTCATTCTTCTGTTCTACTCTGTGCTGATTAGGCATCAGTTGGCATATTGGGTCCAGTTCTGGGCATCACATTTCAAGAAAGATGTGGAAAAATTGGAGGAGGTCCAGAGAAGAGCAACAAGAATGATTAAAGGTCTAGAGAACATTACCTGTGCGGGAAGACTGAAAGTATTGGGTTGGTTTAGTCTGGAAAAGAGAAAATTGAGAGGGGACATGATAGCAGCCTAAAAGGGTGTCACACAGAGAAGGGAGAAAAATTGTTGTCCTTGGCCTCTGAGGATAGGAGAAGAAGCAATGGGCTTAAACTGCATCACAGGAGGTTTAGGTTGGACAGTAGGAAAGCTTTCTGTCGGGGTGGTTAAACACTGGAATAAATTGCCTACGGGGGTTGTGGAATCTCCATCTCTGGAGATATTGAAGAGCAGGTGGGACAGACTCCTGCCAGGGATGGTCTAGACAGTGCTGGGTCCTGCCGTGAGGGCAGGGGACTGGACTTGATGACTCTCGAGGTCCCTGCCAGTTCTAGTGTTCTGTGAGACTATGGTTTGACGACATGATTCTAGATTTTGGAAAATGGAGCAATCCCACATGGGATTCCAACTCCGACTGCCCTCACATGTGCTCTGGGGCGGGTGCTGCACCCACATCTGGAACCTGACATTGGTGGGGAGCTCCAAACCTGTCCCCCTTGCTTCCTGAGCTCGTCTCCTTTCACTTCCTTTTCCCTCCACGTACTTCCATCTGCTGGTGGGTTCCCCTTGGCAGCTTCCCTGCACCGCTGACCCTCAGTTCTGTGCCCCTGAGGTTTGGATGCACAGGCCCCCTATCTGCACTGGAGGGACTGCAGGACTTCCCAAGGCCTGTTTATTCCTTTCTGCTTCCTCCCCGGGAAGCTTCTTCCAGGCTCCTGTTTGGAGGTGTGTGTGTGTGTGTGCATGTGCAGTGTGTACATGTGCAAAGTGTGCATGCATATGTGCAGTTTGTGTGCATGTGCAGTGTGTACATGTGCAAAGTGTGCATGCACGTGTGCAGTTTGTGTGCATGTGCACTGTGTGCGTGAGTGCAATGCGTGTGTGCGTGTATGTGCCATGTGTGTGGCTGCAAGTTGAATATACCTAAAGCTGTTTCTTAGGCTGAGAAAAGGGCCTCAGATAAGAAGGCCAAAGAGCTTGGGAATGGGTGACAGGGGAGGGCTCATTGGATGGTTCTCTGTTCTGTTCACCCATAGGGTTGCCAGATGGTTTCAGAAAAAATACCGAAAAGAAAAAGACCCTGAGAGTTGTTAGGAAAAAAAACAAAACAAAAAAAACCCCTGCGTGGCCCCTTTAAGAAATGCGTGGTGAGACTTTTTGGCCCTAACAGGCTGCTGGAGCCGCCCGCCATCTTGCCTCCCTGTGCTGGGCCAGACAGCCTCCGCATTGAGCCGGACAGCCCAGGAAAAATCAGAAAGTACTGGGCATGGTAGGGCATTGTAAGGCATGGTAGGGCATTGTAAGGCATTGTAAGGCATATTAGGGCATTGTAAGGCATGGTAGGGCATGGTAAGGCATGTTAGGGCATGGTAAGGCATGTTAAGGCATGGTAGGGCATAGTAAGGCATTGTAAGGCATGGTAGGGCATGGTAGGGCATGGTAAGGCATTGTAAGGCATGGTAGGGCATTGTAAGACATGGTAGGTGTCCGGTATTTTCTGAATGTTTTACCGGACAGGAGGTGAAAATACCGAACCGTCCAGTTGAGTAGCAGACACCAGGAAGCCCTACTCACCTGGCTCTGGCCACAGTGGGCAGTCAGGCCAGTGGGCTGGAGGGGCCGTGGGTCTGACCCCGTGTGGCCGTGCTCATGTTCTCATGCTCGCCATTCTATCCTGCCGCAGCAGGAAGCAGCCCCGGTAGCGGCGGCCGGGGGCAGCCCTGAAGGGGAGAGATGGGGCTGGCGGGGCGCCGGGGCCAGCCTGCAGCCAACACTCTGAGGCCCACCGCTGCTCATACATACCCACAAAAAAAGCACTAAACCTGGGAATGGTTCTTTCCCTGGCTGGCTTGGTCCTGTCTGCGGCATCACAGCTGGGCTCTGCACCATCCGGCTGCCGCTGCTCTGACGGGACGGCCGCGAGGTGCTTGTCTGGCACGGTCGAGTCGTTGCCTGAGGTACCTGCGCCGTCACACACGCCGTCTGTTTCCATGGGCCATGGGCCAGCAGCAGCTGGCTCACTCGCAGGCCCTGAGGACCCTGGCCACATGGGAGCTTGGCTGCCTGGCTGTGCGGAGTCTGGCTGGAGCAAGGGCCACCATGTCGATTCAGGTCCGAACTTGGCTAAGGCTCTCGGAGGTAAATCCCCGGGGGCCAGGACAGCCTGCGGCAGGGGGGGGCCCCTGCGGGTGGCTGCACTCATGGCATGGGCCGAGGCCCAGCAGGTCGAGTGGGTCTCTGAGTGCAGTGGGACCCCCAGACAGGGGGCCGTCTGGGTTGATGCATCCTTTGGGAGACAGAAGGAGCTGCTGGTGCTTCCGGTCTTTGGCTGGAGCGAGCTTCTGGGAGTCACTTCGGTCTCTGGATGTTGGGAGCTCCTGCGAATCGATTCCATCTCTCGGTGCAGTGCACACCGGTAGCTCGACTCACACTCTGGGTGGGGGGAGATCCAGCGGGTCCCACTGACATCGGGACGGGGGGAGTCCTGGCGGGTCCCTTCGGCGTTGGGACAGGGGGAGGCCCTGCGGGTCCCTTCGGCGTTGGGATGGGGGGAGTCCTGGCGGGTCCCTTCGGCGTCGGGATGGGAGGAGTCCCGGCGGGTCCCTTTGGCATCGGGACGGGGGGAACCCCCATGGGTCCATTTGACATCAGGATGGGGGGAGTCCCCGAGGGTCCCTTCGGCGTCGGGACTGGGGGAGACCCTGCGGGTCCCTTCAGTCCGTGGGGGAAAGGAGACTGCATAGATGGGTTCAGTCTGGGTGGTCTGGTCCTTTGGGTTGCGAATGGCTCTGCGAGCTCGCTTGGTCTGCGGCTGAGGTGCATCATTGCCGGCTGAAGCAGCCTCTGTCCAAGGGGCACTCCTGGGGGCTGACGCGGGCGGCTCGGCGTTGCTGGTGGGAGGGCGTCTGTCCAGTGCCGTTGTTGCATGGTTCAGTTTGGGCTCTGGTGGGGGGCTGGCTCTCTGAGGGGGTTCCGGCCTTGAGGCCTTGAGGCCCTGCTGCAGGGTTACTAGCAAATGGCTGGAAGTCACTGACAGCTTCCCTGGCTGGACCGAGCATTTCCCACTTCTCAGTTCCACTGTGGTGTGTGGGGCGCCACCGCGTGGGCCATCACTTCCTGGCTGGGGGAAGACGCTGCGCAGGAGCTCGCTCTCTCGCCGGGGCGCGGTGGCCCTGGGTGGCGCGCTTCCTCGCCGGAGCAGGGCACCTTGGCACAGCCCATTCCTGTGCTGGGGGAAAGCGAGCTGGGGAGGCTCACTCTCTCGTCGGAGCGGGATGCCTGGAGAGAGTGCTTCCCCCCACTGAGGGGAGGCGCTTCGGGGGATGTTGGTCCCTCGCTGAGGGGAGGCGCTGAGGGGGAGGGCGCGGTGGCCCTGGGTGGCGCGCTTCCTCGCCGGAGCAGGGCACCTTGGCACAGCCCATTCCTGTGCTGGGGGAAAGCGAGCTGGGGAGGCTCACTCTCTCGTCGGAGCGGGATGCCTGGAGAGAGTGCTTCCCCCCACTGAGGGGAGGCGCTTCGGGGGATGTTGGTCCCTCGCTGAGGGGAGGCGCTGAGGGGGATGTCGGTCCCTCGCTGAGGGGAGGCGCTTCGGGGGATGTCGGTCCCACGCTGAGGGGAGGCGCTTTGGGGGATGTTGGTCCCTCGCTGAGGGGGGCGCTTCGGGGGGATGTCGGGCCCACGCTGGGGGGAGACGCCTCGGGA